AATGTCCCATTTTAGCATTATTTAATGCTTATTACAAGAACGCATTCCAAGTTATTGTAAACTCTTTGTGAGCCCAGACTCATGAAAACAGGCCTCAAACTACAGTCAGTATTTGCGTCGGACACAAGTAAACTTTTTAAGTTTGATTTTGACAGACAGCTGAATCCTTGTTGAAATATTGGAACCAAATTGCTTGCCGCGGCTATTCCACTGCAAAATAGAAAAGACCACAGTGCAGCTGCTATTTTCCTTATTTATTCAATTTTCAACAATAGAAATCGGATCAGTCTTTTCTCACGCAAAGCTAATGATTACTTGATTAAAATGACTGGAAAAAATTAGGGTGCCCGAGCTCGTTAGTGAGCTATAGCCGTTTTTCAACTGACAGAACTCAATATTATGGCAGATCCGCCGTGTTTTCAATGTGCGCGTGCACGAGCGCGCGCGAATGACGCCATAAATTATGCGCAGTAATGATGCGCAATGCAAATGTGAGGAATCACCTAAATAATTTAATAGCTAAATCTCCAAAAAATGTCAATCTTGCATAGATGTGAAGTTAAAGGGCTCAACTAAATTTTCTTATTTGGCATGCGTTTGCACAGAGTTAAGTAGTTTCTTTCTGTAATGTAACGTCCACTCCACTCGTCCTGGGGGCGAGAAAGGGGAAGCAAGGGGGTGGAGAGTGAACAGCGTGAATTTGCTTTGCTTTACCTTCTCTCCACCTAATAGTCCCTTTTTAAAAAAATATCTCTGCGTTCATGAATATTTAATTACTTTAATTGGGCTATTCAGCCAAGGGAGTGGGTGCTGATCAAAAAGCAAAAATCGTGTCGTGAATCAAGTTGATGAAAGAAATGAGGAAAGTTTCCACTGATCTCGTGACGCTGAGGATGCTAATATGACTACAGCTATAGGTGAATTTTCTCAAATTTTTTCAAACCGATCACCAACACCATAATGCCAAAGCTGTCAGGCGTACCGAACTTCCAACAAGCGAAAACTGGTTTGTTCAAAGTGCAAGTGGCCTGGATTCCATTCCTAAAATGAGTTACCCCTCGGACGTACAAGGAGGGGAGGGGTGGGGTGAATGCCCCCCCCCCCTCCACCCATAAGGTTTTTTCAAAGTTTTCAAAAGATTTACTCTAAGGGACTGAAACTTTCAGTAGCTGTTCTTTCATTCTCTGCGGAATTTTTGATATGTCAATTGTGTCCATCATTTTGACGTTGCCATGGCAACCATCATAGGTCTTGCTACAAAATCAAATTTTTTTAGTTAATTCTGTACTTTTTTCCAGTTTTCCTCATCAAATTGCAGATATTCATGAGTTTGTACATTTCATAAGCATTCTGGCTTGATGTTGTAACGCCTTCCAAACTAAAATGTGGTGTTCCAATTTGATAAAATTCAGAGTAAATACTACGAACCATTCCAAAATGGCTACTTTTTCGGTGTAAAATAGAAACCTGTCTCGGAGAAAAGTGATTTATAGGTTGCAGTCTTGAAAGTTCCATTGGAAATGAGTGCAAAATTGACCTAAAGTGCAACGTAGAGCTTAGACGGAAATCCATTATTGCCATTTAATTCCAAAGACGATTTTTGCAATACACTAAGAATCTTAAACTGGTTTTAAAACTCAGAGGAAAAGTTTCCCAGTTTGGAAGGAATGAAAAAATTCTTTCAAGCAATATCCTATTCTTTATTTGAGTTGAAATGTAATGTTTAAGTCACGCATAAGAAACCGAATGATTTTTTGCATTTCTTGTCTCGAGAGGTACCTCCATAGAAAACGATTCAAAATTTCTGATCCCCCAANAAGACGAAGCAGGGAAAATTGAGCGCTTCATTCATAGGAAGCATGGAAGTTACTCGTTGTTTGAATGTCACCGTTTAAGGGATCAGTATCTGGGATGCAACCACGAAGACGGATCCTTGGTTCTTATTCAAGTAGAAGACATATTACACCCAGATCCACGAGTCTTGTTTGTGATGCACGCCAAAGGATCCAACCGATCCTCTCCTTAACTGCTTCTCTTCCAGCTTGACTTTACAAGGCCTCTGTTATGGTATCTTAGGTAATTCTTAACAGTGCAATTCACAGCTTCGAATTGGCAAATTATCGGCTGCATAACAAAAAACTATAGCTTCCAAGCATTAACGATTACACTTTCATGCTTATTGAAATAAACTCGCAAAACTTCCGGTTATCCTTTTTCATGCAAGTTTACCCGATTACAATTTAGCTGCTTTATCCACTCTAACTTTGTTCATCGAATTTCCTTTTGTTTTGTTTATTTGTTTGTTTGTTTTTGATTTGTTTTTTGTTGTTGTTGTTTATTTTTGCACTATTTCCGGCCACGTTAAATTAACTCTTTAGTTTCGATGCCGTGGAACTGAAATTTACATAGCACTTGTCATTCTCCAAAAATTTACTTTCTATTTTTTGTTTTTTTGTATTTTTGGCTGCAAAATGATGTCATGTATTTGGTGTGAAATATATTTTTGGTAGTGTGAATGAAAATTTTGAATTCCGAAAGAACAAGCAAGGAAGATCTCAGGATTGAAAAATAGTGAACCAGTCAGAAAGTTCAGTGACCCCTTCAATTTTAAATTTCCAGACATTATTATACTAACAATAGCTCAAAATGAAAATTAAAAACTCTGTTCAAATCTTTTAATTGGCTCTGTATATATCAAATGTCAAAAATATATCAAAAATCAAAGTTTTGATATTTTTTTTCACTAAAACACTAAAACACTAAAATTTACAACAAAAACAACAAACAAACGAAAAAAAAGGCAAGCTTTGGGAAATGGCAAGTCCTACATGTAGGTAAAATTTTAGTTTCACTCCATAACAATTGAGAACGTTTATTGTACGTGGCTGGAAATGGTGGATTTCTCAGCTTGGCGGTTTTAAACCGTTCTTAATCCTTGTTATTCAAATCTAATTCTAATTGATTAACCCTATTTAGTCAGAGCTGAAATTAGCTAAGATATCCCGACTTCTGACACTATTCAGGCCGAGCTATTTTTTAATTTATATTTTTTTATCTTGTTTGAGCAGGTTTGATTGGTCCCCACCCACCCCCTCTCCCTTGGCTCCTTCTATAATGTCAAGACAATTAAGTCTTAAACGTTAAAAGAGGGGTTGCGCAGGTAAATGCAATCCATTCTAAAGTTTTTCACAGTTTTATAACAAGGATTTACCCTTTGAAGTAGAAACGTTCATTAGATATCCATTCATTGTTCGCCGCAAGTTTGGCGTAGCGACTGTCTCTCTGCATCGTTTCACATTACATTACTGTGGTAATCGTTGTTTCACATTCCAGTGTCATCAACTGAAAATTTGCAACTATAAAGGGTTATGCCTTTAAAAATTTGACTGTCATGGAAACATCAGGCAACGGATAACGATAAAGTTAAGTTAAAGGCCCAAAGTTTGGCAGGTTTTAGTTACATATTGACAAAGTTTTATATAGTTGTTAGCGCGGACACTTTTTGCCTCCTTCACCACCGTGCTGCTTTCATGGTCTGAAAAGGGTTACAAAGTCAAGCTCATTATTTTCACCATGCAATTTTTATCATTGTGATTCATATCCAGGTTATGTGGATAAGAATATATTACCAAGCCGATGTAAAGTCTTATTTGGCAGCTAAGTGAAGCACTTCGTGAAGAATTTGTAATAGGATCGAAAGAGAGCTGAAAAGAGGAAATAGTTTTTGTCATCTTGCATTTTGTTCATAAACCGGCATTGGATGATATTTACGTACCAATATAAGTAGTTTGACAAGCTTTAATTTAACGGGTTTATGAGCATGGTTTAGAACATACTTGCATGTTATACTGGAGCCACGTATTCTTTTAGCAACTTAAATAAAACTGCATGATGAGCTTTTTATTGCACGATTGCTTCTTGTGTGATTTTTTGAACACTTATGTGGGAAAAAGATAACGCGCTGTAGCCAAGTGTACGCTAGACCTGGCCACGGTTTATTAACGATCGCAAGGTAATATTTGTCACAGAGCACATTTTAACAAACATGCCTATTGGAGTGTATGAAAAAAGTTATTATCAAATTATATTCTGTTGCGTTGTGTCGTGTTGTGTCGTGTGGTTTTGTGTTGCGTTCTGTTGTGTTGTGTTGTGTTGTGTTGTGTTGTGTTGTGTTCTATTCTGTTGTGTTGTGTTGGTTGTGTTGTGCTGTGCTGTGCTGTGTTGCGTTGCATTGCGACCTGTCCTGTCCTTTGCTGTCCTGTCCTGTCCTGTCCTGTCCTGTCGTGTTGTGTTGTTTTGTGTTGTTTTGTTTTGTTTTGTTTTGTTTTGTTTTGTGTTGTGTTGTGTTGTGTTGTGTTGTGTTGTGTTGTGCTGTGTTGTGTTGTGTTGTGTTGAGTTGTGTTGTGTTGTGCTGTGTTCTGTTCTGTTCTATTCTATCCTACGATGCCCGTACTGTAAAGTTTAATTTCTGTACGCACCTAACTTAGCTTTGCTCCATGGCCGTAAATCCAAGGGGAAAAGTGAACGGGGATGGGTAACCCACTGTACGGACAGAGAAGTCAAGATTCTTTTAAGATAACGTTATAGCCTTTCTATACATTACTGTATGTCTGAGGGATTCTGGAAGCCATGTCAGGGTCCCCGGGAGAGGGGGTACTTCCTATAATGGCCTGTACGGGAAAGCTCCGTCAGAAAGGAGTACCATTTTCAGGCTTCAGGTATATAAAAGAGTAGTGATTTCGCAAGCTGAGGTATATGAAAGGGTAGGAAACTCTTTCATTTAGTTATTTTCAAGGGCCTTTTATTAAAGCATTTCAAATAGACTCGCCTTATCGTTGGGGTGACCCGAAAACACTGACCACCGGTCCGCGGACCCCACTACAGACCGTCCGCGGACTACCTATGGACCGGTCCACAGACTCCCCGTACGTACCCCCTCTACGGACCACCCCCCAAAATATAATAAAAATGTGCACAGTGCAACACTTGAAAAATCACCGACACGAGTATGAATCTATTAGACAACCCATAAGTGAAATCTTTATTTATTATTTTTACACTATTTTAGGGTGGTCCGTAGAGGGGGTCCGTAGGGGTAGTCCATGGACCGGTCCGTCGTGGGGGTCCGCGGACCGGGGCTCAGTGTTTTCGGGTTACTATTATTGTTGTATCATTTAATTTATCAGGAAGGAATACAAAAGGATACGTTTCCTGTCAAACTGGTGCACAAAAGGGTAGGGGTTGAACCTCGAAGTTAGCGTCCCCGTATAGAACTTTGCAGAGTATCCACCCGGGTGTCAGTCACACCAATAAATAAATTGAACTTCCAATTACTTTAATCAACAGAGCTTTTTGAATTAATTTTTATTTTTGATTGTTACTGGGATATAGATTTAGTAAAGAACAGACTACATTTAACCAAACGTTGTTCTGTTATGTAACTCTTGATACTACATCCTGTCCACTTGTCACAGGCTTTTCTCCGAGGTATTGAACGTTGATATAGGTCCTCTGAAAAATAAGGAAAAAGAACAAAACAGAATCAATCACGAACTAAGCATTATCGTTATCCAACAATTGTAATCGAAAGTTGTATTTACACTAACAAAATGGGAATGCTTAGTGACCCGAGGTAGGTGAAGGCTGAAGGAACTGCGTTATAAAAACTGACATAACAAGACAAAAGCATTTTAAATGAGGCAGTGTTACCATTGAAGTTAATTGAACACAAGATGAATTTATAAAACAAGAATTTTTTTGTAATTTTTAATACAAAATGCTTTAAATAGGATGATGTTAACAGACAAATATTTCAAATTTCTGTAACTCTGGTGTTCATTGATCCCTGTCGGCTCATATTTACAGAACTGTTTTTGAATAATTAATAAATACAAAATTAGAAGGAGGGATGTGAGTGAGCGGGAATTCCACAATCATTAAGGCTGGATTTTTTGGTCGATTGCTGGTTTCCTTATTATTATTTTGATCATTATCATTATCGTTAACGTTATCGTTATCGTTATTATTATTGTCTTCATTATCATCATCATCATTTTCTCACCGCTTTGGTGTTCAAAATTTCATGAAGAATCAAATAAAGTTCTTTAAATGTTGGACGATCTTCTGGGAAATTCTGCCAGCAAAGTAGCATCACCCTATACCTACACGAAATTCGGGAAAAAAAATATACATGTAAAACTGCACAAAAACAATGCGATTTTTAAATTAAATGGTACAAACCTTAAGCTCGGGTTAATAAAGAGTTCAGGATTAACCCACCAGCTTTTTATATTTGACATTGTTTCAGTTTTTTGCCATACTCAGGATAAATATAAATGGAAAGCATTTAGAAATTTTGCTTGCCTAAGCATGTTTTGAAAATACTGAGTGGTTCCTGTTGAAAGTAACATGACGATTTTCTTAAAACAAGTGCGGTTAGTCTAGATCTTCTATTTTGCATTGTGGTGCTATAAACACTTTTTCACGCCAATGGAGACAAAAACTACCCAAGCTAATGGTACGTATCCCACTCACATGCTTAAATAGAAGTGATTGTTTTATTTATTTGAATCTACAGCTTACAGTTCTTTAGAGCAGTGTGCAGATCTCTCCAGTCTCACTCCATCTTTAAACTTGCTGTAAAGTTCAACAAGTCCTTTGACTTCTTTGAATGGCAGTTCTCCTATAATATTCCGGAAAATAATATACATTTGTTCCTTTCTCTTCCAACAGTCAATGCTTGCATCAAATCCAGCCCCTATCATCATTTCTCCGGACATTTGTCGATACATTAACTTAATATCTCAAAACAAATATATGCAAATAGTCCCCTTTTGGGGGACGAATTCCCGAGGTGGAGCCTCGTGAAGAGTGCAAATGCTCAAGCGATAAAACAAGGTCAAAATATATTTTGAGGAGGCTAGCTAGGGTGACCCGCGCGCCTTCTTGCTAAAGTCAATTCAACACATGGAATGCAAATTAAAAAAAAAAAAAACACACACACACACAGATGGCGCCGATACAGTGATGTTTTTGTTTGTTTTATGTTCATGCTACGTTTACTATATTTCTTTATAAATGACACAGTGTGTTTTATGTTTTTATTCTTCGTTAGAAAGGTATATGCATCCCTAGAATGCTGTTATGGCTTCTCGAAATACACCTATTTACCGATCGATAAGTAGGAGGAAGTGGAGGTTATTAATGCGAAGGTAAGAGTTGTTCACAAATTAATCAACACCTTCAACCATGTACCTGAGTCTTAAAAATATGTATCTCGACTGAACAAGTGCCATAAAAGGGCGTGTTGCGAACTGTGACAGTGGCACTCCAGGATTAGCGTGGTCAAAGATTCTCAATGGGGTCTGCCGAGGCCAGTGAAAAATGTTACAATTAAGTTTTTACTTGTACCTACCAAGGGTGACTATTTCCCAGAGAAGAACACCAAAAGACCACCTGGAATTGCAAAAATTAAAGCTTGTTTGATTTACTATGTGAGTCAGACGTGTTCAGTGACTCTTTAGTCACTAATATTTCCTCAAATATAAGCTTATGTTACAATCTCCGCTCTCCCTTAAAAGCATACTTCCAAAAGAGATATATTCCTTTAAGGCTACTTTGGCTGGTCACCCCTTTTGGATAGCGAGCAAAAGTGCAGGTAAAAAACATGACGTACATGTCCTCCTTTATTGAACTGACCTGAAACAATTTCCTACCATGATTTTTTTTCTTTTTTTNGGGGGGGGGGGGGCTCAGAGATTTTATGTGGTTTCCCAGTGACGTATTTTCGAGCTAAAAAAACCTAGATATCAAAAGCTGAATTTGTAGAGATTAATGTTGAGAAGACCTGTTCTGTCTTCACTACTATCTTAAATTAAATATTACTCACACGTCAGACATTGTAGTAAAGTGTCCTCGTAAGGCTTCACTTGGCATCCAGAGCCATGGAATTTTACCCTTGTCGAGAAAAAAAAAACATAATTGTTTTCAATCTATATATCACACCGTATTAAATGCATGATATAAAATTTCCAAATAATTATTTTCTTTTCAGTCACTGTCGTGAAAACTTGCCCTCCCCTTAAAGATGGGCATGTAAACGAACTTAAAAATATTGTTATTTAATTACGGTACCTAATGCAAGTCGGATCATAAGTTATCTAAACAATTTGTGCGAGAATCAATATACTGCAGATAATGTGATTTTTGTAACGACTTGTTCTTTCCTTAAGTGAAAGTAATTAGAATGTTCATTCACTACGTTAAGACAGAAATAATGCAATGATTAATTCCCACTGCTTAAGATGGCCGTGTAGCGGCAGACAAAGGTATCTGGCATTTGTTTGTTTGTTCGTTTTTTCTGCGTCTATTTGTTTGTTTGCTTTTTTGTTTATTTTTTCCTTTTTGGTTGTTTGTTTCTTTGCTTTTTCATTTTTCATTTTAGTGTCATAGTACCTCAGTGGTTTTAATGTACTCGCCATCTTTTGAGACATCTCGTGCCATTCCAAAGTCCGCCACTTTTGCAATAAGTTTCTTCCCCACAAGTATATTCCGAGCAGCTAGGTCTCGATGAACACACTGCAAAAGTAAAATAAAAGAAAAAAACCTTCATCTCTCTTAGAAGCGTAATTCCTTCACACAGTTTACAAATAAAGGCTTATTTAAATTGTTTAATTTGACCAACTGGGTGACGGCCATTCTCTGTAATCCCAGGCCAAGTCCACTCGTTTCAATTCGTAGGGCATGCGCAGCCGGGTGGATTCCACATAATTTGTAACAGCTGCAAAGACTGAAGTTTATGAGTCACATGTTGTTTTTTAAACTATTTTTCATGACTTTAACATTTCATACAGCTCAGCTCGTAGCTCAACTGCTAATTATTTTTGAAAATTCTGGGACATTTTAAGAGTTTTGTATTTATCATTGGTTTAATTTGTAGATTCTGGTCAAAGTTAATGTAAATGGCAACACAAAAGATGAACAACTAAACCCTTAAACAAAGGTTTCGTTCGTTCATTCATTCATTCATTTGTTCGCTCGTTCGCTCGTTCTTTCATTCATTCAGTAAATTTTCGTTTCAATTATCATAATACACGATGACACTGAATACGACATTCAAAACTTCAGAATTGCAATGCCCTCAATAAGTTAGGGTGTGACTTGCCAGTTTACTTTCCAAGTGTTGCATTCCATTGGCGATATCTGAGGCAATTCTAAGCAATTGCCTTTCCGTCAGTCTGGACCGTATGTTAGCATACGATGGTTGCTCTTGTTCTCTGCATCTTTGAACCCGACTCTTGCGGAGTAACTTATCAAGACTTCCCCCAGGTACAAACTCAACAGCAACGCATAACGGTTCTAATGGTATAAACATGCAAGTGAAGGATAAATAACTACATGTAGAGGAATATAAGATAGAAGAAATATATTGGTTTATTTTACTGAAGGTTAATTGTCGAGTACGACTGAGGTTACGCTACGATAAATAACTTCATTGAAGAGGATTTTACCATTAAAAATGTCAGAGAAAACCCAATACTAGATGCAAGGAAATGAACAATATGATACAATAAAGATTCTATTTACTTTGACAGCTTCTTTATCAACCATATTTGTTTTCTATTCGATTAGTTGTGTCTCCCTTTGGTTCTCAGCATATTCACGCGAACAAGCGCCGCCTCAGATTATGTATCGCTCTCGAATAAGACCCGCACGTGGGAGCAAAAATATTAGCAATCAGCGCAAAATGCGCAACCCCATCAAACTACTTTATAGCTTCAGCGGCACTTATTCGAAGACGTTTACAGTGTTCTAAACATAATTCTTGGTCGTACCTTCAAACGTGCACGCTCCGACCAGGGTGACGATATTTGGATGGCGTCCAACCCAGATAAGCGTCTCCATTTCACTGATGAGTGCCAGTCGATCCGCTTGTTTGCTGCTGTCTGCAAGGTATTAAAGATCACTTCCTGACTAATGAGGTGCACTAGTTACTCTTCCACACTAAAAACCACCTAAATGTCCATAAACCAGCCAAGAAAACCTCACTAAAAACAATTGGGTAACATACACCTGAAGCACGGTTATTTTATGTCAATATTCGTTCATAATATATTTGTTAAGAATAGAACCCGTCTTTTTTTTTCCCGGCAAAGCAAATCCTCATATTTCCTGCCTGTTGCGTAGCTCAGGTACTGGATAAGGGGGCTCATTTTCCAAGCGTTGCCTCCCTGTGTTAACACATCCGTATAAAATTCAAAAGAACGCAACACATTATAATTTAACTCCGTCTTTTTTTTTTTTTTAACGTTTGAAGGTATTGCTCAGCATAAAGAGATGAAACACAAACCTCTTAGAGTCTTGACAGCAACTGGCAATTTGCTATCGTCTCGCCTCAGATAGAAACCTTTGTATACAATACCAAACTCTCCTCCACCAAGTTTCTCTCCCGTTATCTCCAGTTTTTCTCGAGGAATTTGCCAGTTCCTGTCAATTTCCATTTCTATCAAATACGTTTCGTTATCAACGACCTCGTGATCATCCTCCATAGATTGGCTACGTTCTTGGAATCTTGAAGCAGATTGGTCGCCCATCAGATGGGCCAATGTATCCCCGGCGGTGTCTAACATTGGAAAGTGGCCTTGACCCTCTATATCTAAAAGCTATAAAATACAATTTAAAAAATCAAATTTTACTGGGTATGAAAAAAAAGGCACAAGTGCAATTCTTTTCATTCCAATTGTACATTATGAGATTGTAATGCAAATAGAGAAAGCTCAACGGTTTAAAAGGTTATGCTAAGAATTAAATCTTTGCTGTAATCTTGTGATAATAAGGACAATTGTGGCTATGGCTACCTTTATACGCTTGTACTCTTCGTTAGCCAGCAAAAAGAACTCGAATATACTAAAGCAGTGTTGCAAATATCCTGTGAAGAAGCGCCCACTTCACGACAGCACGCGGACTTGTCAGGTAGCGTGAGCGAGAAAGAACCATTTTACGTTTTAGCAATGAAAATTTAGTAGAAAAGATAGATCGGTTTAAGAAAAGAAAACCTCTAAAATGACTATCAGCGATCATAATACTGCAGATAGCAGTATTTATAATGAAATTTTATAAGGATGGTGTAGCTCACGTCGAAAGAAGTTCAATTGATGGGCTAGGCTGAAAATATCGAAACTGGCCTGGGCTGAGAGTTCACCGAAACATGTCGTGTCACATTTCAACCTTTAGGCTTTGTTAGACATTTTTTAAATTTATTTCTTTTAAAACGTTTTATTCGCGATGCCGGACCGCCATGACATTTGGCGTTCAAGTCAGAGTTCCGGTGTTGTAAGTTTGATTCTCCACTGAAATAATCCCATGAACGCGAACGTCAAATCTCTTGACTCAAAGCATCACTAGTTATAGAAGTGAGCTGTTGGTTGCGTCACTAGACTCACCCCCGAATCAGGCTTGCTGTTTTCCTTTTTACACCAGGACCTTCTCATAAAGAAAAGAAATGTTACCAAGACTATAACGGCGACCACTGAACTCACTGAGGCCGATACTTTTTCCACAGGGAAACCATTGGGTGTGTTATCCAGTGCATCGGTTCCTACTAAAATAATAAAAAGAAAACGGCCACATGTCAAGTTGTTAGGCCTTAGCGTAATTATCTAGACGCAGAACCTAAGAAAATAAGGGTAAAAAAACTATTCTTGTTTATTCATTAGAGTGGATGGAAGCCATAGTTATGATTCATCAAAGCTACAGTGGTCAATCGTACCAGATTCAGACAAGAATTGGTGTAGTAGATACTAAGATATTTGGACTGTACGCTAAGGAATTTAGGGAAATTAAAATATACCAATTTGGAAAGCCGCATCTGAAATCATTCTCACCGTCAAGTGGGGATGCATTTGCTGTTGGTATTTCTGCTTCTTTCGATATTACTGTCAGCATTCCTGTCTTCGATGGCGTCCTTCCTGCTATATTCACTGCTATGCATTGGTACATGTCAGAATTTTGTTCTTTTTTTAACCGAACGGAGAACCAAGTATGAAATGCTGCCGTTCTGAATCAGGGTAAGATTTAAGAGGAGTGCGTTGTTCCTTAGCCAAGTAATCTCAGGACGCGGGGAACCAGTTGTTCCGCATTCAAAAATGGCATCTCGTCCCTCTTCAACTACGAGGTCTCCCGGCTGAACTGAAAAACCTGGTTTCCAGATAACTGTTGACAAGAATAATAATTAAGAAATGGGTAACATTTTCCGGTTTCTAACAAGTCGTAGAAACACAATTTCAAGTTTGAGAGAACAGGATGCTGTGGGAACACGAGCCACAGGTGAGAAGCAGGGAGAAAATGCTTTCTAATATGTCTTTTAAGAAAACACTGGGAGGAAAAGAGGAGGAAATAACTTGTTCAATTCCACAATTAAAATGCAAATTATCCTTTCCCGCACGATCTTTCAGTACATCAACAGCTTGTGCTGGCTCTAAACTTTGTATAAAACTGCCAGCGTTCCATCACGTATGCTGTTCTCTGATAGGCTAAGCTACTCACTATCTATTATCTGTTATTATGAATCTATTAATTCACTTTTCAAGGCGATTTCAGAGAGGTTTTATACCGAAGACGATTCAATTCGCTCTTGATTTCTATGCGTCATAGTTGACTCGACTGGACAACTATAACACCATAGAAATCCAGTCCATTGGCTCGTAATCTAATTGTTAAATAGGAGTGTTGCTTTAGTGTTTGCCTTCTTACAGGGTGTATTTTAATCGTTAACAAAGCAATCGCTTGAGGCCTGAGAAAGAAAAAGCAAATAAACGTGCAAATTCAGTTTAACTCTGGACAATCAAAAGGGAAAATAAGACTCCATAACTGTAAACTCACCAGTTAAGTTTGCGATGGTGGATCGATTCCATCCCTCATAACTATTTGCCTCACACCAATATCTTCCTTGATCTTGCGGCGTGACAGAATCAACAGTCAACACTGACAATGCCTTGGTCTCATGTATTCGGCTGTCTTTGGTCACGCTACGATTACCTTTAAACCAAGTTATAACTGGCCTTGGAATCCCAAATGCCTCGCAGCTGAAGTTGACCTTCTCTCCTGTTGCAATATTGTCTTGGGAGATTGGATGGATTTGAAATCTTGGTTTTGAGGGTTCTGTAGGAAAGGTTTACCAAAGGTGATAGCCACAAACTTGTAATTAGACAAAAATACGTCAAACACCCTTGAAAGATACAACCTTCCAATGAATAAAGACCTAATTTTTATACCTAATCGTATCTCTTTGATAGATTTCAACGGCATGTAAGACGAGCTTAATATTGCTATAGTTCGTATTTCGGCGAGATCAGCAATAATGGTAGTAGTTATCCTGCAAAAAAACTTAACAACTTTGTTTATTTGTGTTTGTGTTTGTTTTTTTGGTTTTCGTTTGCTTTTTGTGTATCATTTGCCTCGGGAAGATTGACAAGAACTGTTTCCCCATATATTGGTGATGACCATTGAAAAAAGCACGGTTTCAACCTTTGTTATAGCAATTCATAATAATTGTCAATGATTCACTTACATGACCCAGTCAAAGAGATTATCATACTTACCTCCCAAATGTAAAGTAAGTGACGCTATGCTACATTTCATAAAATTTGTCACCATACAGCCATATTCGCCAGATTTGTTTCTCGAGGCCTTCTCGATGCGATACGCACAGGTTTTGGTATCGTTCCGGTCAGAAGTGATCCGCCCGCACTCTTTAATTTGGTGGTTTCTAAAAAACAACTGCACCTGATATGGCTGTTCGGAGAACTTATGTAAGTCCCCCTCTCTCGATTTGTTTCCAATGCAAACAATTGTGAGGTCATAACCAATAGGTATCACGTCATCATCCGGGAATTCAGAAATAAAGATAGCAATTAATGGAGCTGTGGGAACTGCAATATAAAGCAATTAGTCTCAGTGGGAATTTGTTTTGCCTGCAGCAGAGAAACT